TTCATAACACAATATATATTGTGTTATGACACTCAATAAATATTTTTCCTCAAATCTATTATGTGACTTTTATAGGTTTATTATATCACTTTAATCGGATTTTATTTATAGATCATGAATCTTTTATCTGATATGTTGTATTTTGGAGCTCTACAACCCTGTCCAAAATGTAAAAGGCAACTCGTATACGACTCTGGTTTGGGTTATAAGTGCACTGGCAATGCAACGGAATGGAATAAATGCGAGTACGTTACACAAGATCCAGAGAGAAAAGAATGCGAAATACCAAGTGAAATGAAGGAAAATTTTCCAATTAAGTAAGTTCTCACTAGATGTGGAACAATGTGAAACTTGATTGAACCAATTAATTCTATTTGCACTTCTTTATTTCAACATTAATAAATATGATGTAAAGATGATTTTTGTTAATAATCGTAATTTGTTCTTAGATCATACAAGTCCAATGTAAAGAAACGAGTGTTTGAAGTAACATCATCAAATTCTGTTAAAGAAGAGAAAGATGAAGCCAAATCTTGTGATAAACCTAAAGTACAACGAAGACCATTTCCTTTGAAAAACATGAAGTTTTTTATATTTAATAATACATGGAGATATAAAGAGAAATTGATGGAGGAAATCTTATTGTTGGGTGGTATTATTGCAACGGAAATCCGTCAAGATCTGACTGCTGTAATTTCAAATCGAATAGAAGTAGAAAAAATGAGTGAAACAATGAAGAATATTCGGGCACGCAACATTCGAGTGGTAGCAGAGGATTTTGTAGAAAAAGCGAAAAAGTATAAAGACGCTCTTACCATGCTCCTAAAAGAGAAAACTATTTCTAGCTGGAGTGACGTTAGACTTTATAACTCCATTGAGAAATCCGCCTCCACGAGTACTAATACTAAGATACTTAACGCACAGAAAGTGTAATGTTTAAGTTCATGTTCTAGTTAAGTTTTTTAACTTTGTGAGATTATATTTTATTTGTTGACTATTAAATTTAGATGTTACTATATATAAATTCCAGCGAAGATTTCGCCAGTATTATAACCATTAAACTTCATAAAACTTTTATTTTAAAGGTTGATCTACATCTATCGGAAGGTCCTTACAACAATCGTAACGCTAATCTTAGCTGTCAATCTCATCGTAGGAGTTGATTGCAATTCAACTGTTACGATACATTATGAGATTCCCTACTTTGCTATTTGCTATTAGCGTTACGATTTACATACAGCTTTTTCCTTACAATCACGATCACTTACGATCGTAACGTTTTGCTAGATGTAGACCTCTTAAAGGATAATCTTTTTTGTTTTGTTGCGATTGCATGCAATTTGTTTACGTGGGGTGACGATATTAACGCTAGTCTTTCTAACTTCATTGCAAACTCCGTCTCCAAGAGTACAAATACTAATATACGTAACACAAATTAAAAAGTATTATTCGTGTTCTAGTTAAGGTTTTTAACTTTGTGATATTACATTTTATTTGCTAATTATTAATTTAAGATGTTACTGTAAATTCCAGTAAAGATTTTACTAGTATTGTAACCGTTGGACTTCATAAAACTTTTATTTTAAATGATAATCTTTTGTTGCAACTGTATGCAATTTGTTTATGTGTATATTTATTTACGCATATATTTGTTTACGTGCATATTTTTTATGTGCATCAAAGAGTGTTTGATACCTCAAATATTGATTGTATGAAGAACAATAAATTGTTTTATATCAAATGTTTTTTTTTATTCTTTATACATGAAACATGCATCTTTTTTTATGTCATCTTTTATATAATATTTAATAATTAAGTTGTCAAATAAAGCATAGCCAATTCAATAAGATTTAAAAATAAAAATTTACAATCTAATTCGGATTATTTTTCTTTTATAGCGTATTCATTTATTGTGAATCTCTTCTCATTTTAGTTAGCCAGTTCCTCGCTCTCGGGGACACAGCCAGTGGAGTCATGAAGACACCACCAGTGAAGTTACACAAAGTTAAATGGAAATACAAAAATGATACACAGTTAGAATATAGTAAATAAAAGTCGTTGCGAGGCCCTTGCGAGAAATGTAAATTCTCTCGTTGACAACAACGCCATGAATGCATGAATGTTAGATGTCGTGCAACATTCATGTTCATTCATGCACTTCATATATGCGAACTTCGTGACGCTGTGTGTGTGACATTTTGCATGTGTGTACCAATCGTGTTGAATCATGTTGTCACGCGTACGGAGGTGTAGGCGCAGCTGACAAGAGACAGCTGAGAGTTGAGACAGTCGTGCCGTCGTGCGTGACAGTCCATTTCGGTGACAAAATTTTGGAGTAATTCGCTGCGCGCGCGTTCAAAACATAAGTTTACACAGCATCAAGATCTCATCGATTTACCAGTGGAAACCAGGGGTTGACAAGAGCCGCGAAAATGATGCAGGAGCCCACGGCGTACGACCTGGCGTATCGCGGCAAAACCGCGGCCGTGAAGATTCTGCTGAACGAGAACGAGAAGCTGAAAACGCAAACGGACAGCGTTCGTATATCGTCGCTTCGTCCGCGTGTCGTGTGTACTTTTGAGGTTACATCGCGCTTCCTCTCTTTGCAGAACGGCCGAATGCTGCTACACTGGGCAGCGCTGGGCGGCCACGACGACCTGGTCAGGCATTTGCTGTCCCTCGACGTACCGGTGGATCCCGACGACGATGTAAGAAATCTCTATTTGTACATTAGTACGACTGTAAACAAACACAAGATATGTGTTCTCTGTACATGCACTATGTTATACTTTTTGCACTTAAAATGATGGTATATATAATTACATAGAGCTGGAGAGAGAAAGAGGAGACGAAAGGTATGGAGTTTAGTTAAAAAAAAAAAAAAAAAACGTGAGGTGTAATTTTACGCATAATAATAGCAATGTTACAATAGATCGGCATAAGTAAAATAATTAATCAAAAACTTGCCCTAATCTGCAGCTACATTACTTTTTGAAATTTTAAACAAATTTTCGGTCGACCGTTGCTGTAAACAAGTGCATGAAAATTGTCTAATCTTGTTACATTATGTGTCATAGCATGTAAAGCCCTCGATCGATAAAATTTCGACGGTACGATCGCACGAAGCGTCTGGCGACTGAATTAATTCGCCAGACGCTCTCGGAACATCACGCGTACAGATATTCCCTTTTAACTGCGTCTTCTCGAAATTGTTTTCTTCCACTGTTTTCCTCATACATTGGAATGCGCTTGTTTTAAGCACGAGAAAAATGTAATCATGATTCGACTAAACTGATAAAGTCGATTCGTAATTTTGCGTGCGACAATTCCGAATTCGGAGCGACGCAACGAACGCAACGCACCTACTAAATTCCTAATATATTAGTTTTCAATATAAATTTTAAGATTTTAAGATGCATTTTTTACGCGCGGGCAATGTTAGTTCATTGAAATTTCGATGGAATTTTTAGCACGAAGAAACAAGATGTTAACAGAAAAGTAAATTTTCTTATTTTTTTAATATAAAGTTTTCTATGTTAAATATGTTACACATTTTTTATCGTTAATTAAAAATGCTGCTATTGATATTGTCTGAATTATTAATCCGTAATTGTTAAAATTGTCGAAACATTCTGTGTCTAATTAATTAAAAATAGTATAGTTCATAATCACATCTAAATGAAAAGACTTATTTTTAAATATTTGTTTCGATTTACATATAACTATTACATATAACTATTACAATTTCGATTATTGAAATGCATTATATGAAATATTTAATAATAATTCGCGGTATACGTTTATGTCATCAAGTCAACTTTATTTTTGTATCTCAAAATATCATATACCTTTCCGAGAAAATTATAATTCTTGCATTGCTGTGCACTGACTGTTAAACTCTCGTAGTTCCAAACGAGATTCTATACAGATCACACACTGGTAACACAAATAAATAGTACAATCATGTACATTTTTCCTGTAAAATATCTCATTCTTTATAAAAATACTTCAAAATGTGTTCATCTATCGTTAATAAAATAGCAATCAGCAGTATAGATTGATTTTCAATGAATCGTAGACTATCTATGTAAAACGCCCTTTAAATCATAATTTGAAAAAATTTAACGAATAATAGTTAAAGTAAATTTTAACATATCAGGCAGAGAATCTTACATTACAATTCTATAGAGCTCTTCCATCCCTCATTCCGAGAGATCTATTTCGAAAGAAAGATGGAGATCTTAATAATATACACACTTGAGGACGTATAATTATATTATAATTTTTCCAAAGATCATTTATAAGAAAAAAAAACTTATAAGAAAATAAGTATAAAGCGAAAATGCGTCTAAAATGCATCGCGCGTTGCGTTACATTTTTTGCACATCCTTTTTTCTCTCTCTCTCTCTCTCTCTCTGTCTCACACACACGCGTAACGCACATCGCATAATCACCGCGAAATTTTCATTCCGTTCGTTGCGTCAGCTAGATCCTCGTACGAAATCAAACGTTAAATCGCGCGTAATAAATCATGCAGACAAACATGACTCCGCTAATCCTGGCAGCGTCCGCCGGCCGCGAGAAGGTCGTTAACACGTTGCTGACCGAGGGAGCGAACGTGAACGCGACGACGGTCGACGGTCACTCGGCGTTGCAGTACGCCGCGTCTAAGAACTGGAAGTCCATCTGCGTGGCGTTGCTCGAGAGGGATGCAGACGTGAACATCGCGGACAAACGGGGTGCCACGCCTCTCCACAGATCTGCCTCCAAGGGCAACACCGCCATCGTGAAGCTCCTCATGGAGTACGGAAAGAAGTTGAACATAGGTAGCGGAGCGTATCTGTGTGTGTTATTGAAATGCAGCTCTTTCATTACAGTATAATAATATATAAAATATCAAATATAATCTATATATATCTATATATATATATATATCTATATATAAATATTTTCGATTATAACTTAGAGAAGTACAAAGGTTCGCTCGTTCTCCCAATGTCGATACGCAATTTCGTGCATTTTTCGTTTCATGCTGTCTCGTTTTTCAGATCAGAGAGACGCGTACGGTAACACGGCGTTGCATCTCGCTTGCGAGGAGAACCGCGTGGAAGAAGCAAAACTGCTGACGGCGCACGGCGCGGACTTGACGATCACCAACAAGGAGCGCAAGACTCCACTGGATCTCGCGAGTCCCGGATTGATCCGACAGCTCGAGGAAATCAAGCGAGAGACTGTGTCAAAATAAAGTTAGCTCCCTCGCGCAATTTTTTTTTTCCGTACGAGTGGTTTTCACGCGGTTTAAGTTTCGTTAAATAAGTCTCCAATAAATGCATCCATGATTAAAGAGTTTCCTTCTCCAGAATTTATTTTACCCATTCTCACTCACTCTCTCAAACTCTCCCTTCCTTATACATATATGTAAAATGCGGTCAACGTTTGCGCTCATTCTATATAAAATGTATCAAAAGTCCTCTATTCGATTATTCTCGGTTTTTCTTTTTCGCCGCTTCGCCTCTCATGGCTCTTTCTTTCGAATCGTCGGCACCGTATCGGTCAATCGAACTCTAATCGAGACGATCGTCGTTATCTCATCGCAATAATAATAAGGCCCGGAAACGCCATGGGACATTGTCGAAAACGACTTTTGATTTTAATCGTGGAGCTGGTAATCTCGTACTCGCGACGCGAGACGTCCGCGTGACGCGCCGAATCGAACCAAAAAAAAAGCCAACACCCTCTCGACGCACGTATATATACATAATTCACAGAGGTTCGAGAGCACATTGGACTGACTCCGATATTCAATTGGCATTCTCCTCGCCGTCGATGCTCTCGTCCTGCGTCGTCGAATCGTCACCGGAGCCGCCAGTTTGTACGGAACCGCGTTTCAGCCTCGTGGAGCTCAGACTTATCGGAGGACCACCGCGCCTTTAAACAAATCATACGTTACGTTAGTTAGGCAATGTGTCTCGTTGTTGAAATACATGTACATAATATAATGCGAAAAAAATATACACTATCAGTCAATAGTTCAAATATATTTGTCACTTTTTTCGGGTTAAAATATCCCTTGTGTAAAATCTAAAGTTTAATTTTGTACTTAAATACTCAACATTATGTATCAAATAATATAATGAGATGTGTAATAAAGTGTATCGCGAATTAAACATAAAATGAGTATAAAATAATTTATTATTATCGAAAAAAATTGCCTGAATAAATTTAAATATTTAAAATCCTTGTGATAGCTAATAAGTAAGTAAGAAGTTTTAAATGTGAAAACTGTTATATTAAACAGACTGATCTTTTAGAAAACACATTGTCGAACTATCGACCGATAGTGCGTACTGCAAAGTCAAATAATCAAAAAATATGAAAAAAAAAAAAACGCATTCACAAACAACTGCATTCAAGGGGAGATGCCTGGGGG